TTTTCCTTCACCGTAAGAACGTCGGGTAAATTATGTACATATGAAAATTCGAAAATCACATTGGTACATGGCGGGAATCGAACCCAAGACCAATTACAAGTCAAGTGTTCAAACCACTGAGCCACCGACTCTCTGCTCTTAACAATAGACACATTCTACAATTAATCTAAAATCTTAAGTTTAAGTAACAATACCCAAATGAAATTGTTAGTATAATTTCCACTAATTAATTTTCTTTTACCTTTGATTTAAATCCATAGTCAAATCCGTCACCGGTTTCCGGTACATTAAGCATGTCGTACCACATCTGCGCGGGCCCGAAGCGCCAATGCGCTGGTGTGGGCCGCTGTGACTTATCTCCGGAGTTTTGAGAATTATTTTCAGAATTTGTTTGCTGATTCTCTTCCATTGGCCTAAAAATGCATTACCACATGAAAACAAATAAAAAATAAGAGATTTTCATCAGAAAAAACCTAGACTTATAGACTATAGAGTCAAAAATCAACAATGAGACAACTAGAAATATAGCTAGCTTTATGGTTAAGAATATACTATACTGATTTTAGCGTAGCATAAACATTTGAATTATTCTGATTAATTACCAAGAAATAATGGCAGTCAATAATTTCTATGACAATAATATAGAGGACAAAATTGCAAGACTTATCTTACTTAAGAAATTTATCTTCATCATCACTTGCATACTGTGGCTCTTGGCACTCGGGCTGTGGAGCGGTATCACTGCCAGTGCTGCCGCTGCGCTTCCTTCTTCTCCTCTTCTTGACCCCACGCCATATTTGTGGCAGGCTTGACAATTTACCAGGACCAAATAACCGGGAAAATAATAATACCTGTGTACAAAGAGTAACAATCAAGAAACATTGTAATATAAGCGATATAATTCAAAATTGTGTACTACTAGCTTTTGCCTGGGACATTATCCAAGAGAAATGTGTTCTTCCAAACTATGCTCTACATCTATGCTAAATTTTAGAGATGCAATAGGCAATTTAGGGGATATAACAAACATCCATCCATCTATCGAAACACTAACCATTATAAGTATGACAAAATGACCATTGGTAAATATTTAAAGTTGTTATAACATTGATTTTTGTGACATAAATAGAGCTAAAGAATTACAGTTTTAGCTGCTGTTAAAATAAATAATTTTGCGCTTAGTACACACCTTGTCAGGCCGAAAATCCGGAAAAAGTTCTGTTACATCCACATTAGCATATTTAGAAGGCAGCATAGCTGCTAGAGGTGTTTCCAATTTCTTTGGTTTATCCGATTTCTGTTTACTGAAATAACAAATGAGATTAAATTAAACAAACACAATAATGGCTGAATACTGAAGCAAGTAATGTGTAAGCATCTTAAATGATAAGTCCAAAAAATCCTAATTGTAAGTGACTTTAAATCTGATGCATGTCAAATTTTAATTGTGTAAGCAAGTGGTACATAATTTGTAAGCACTCGTAAGAAAAAAAGTTAGTAACATTCATTACATTATTGGGATGTAGGAGGTAGAAGAACTCTACAAATTAAATATAGTAAATTAAATCATTGAATATTGATAATAATACTTACGGAACAGTTGAAGGCGGTGGCATAAGTCCTCCATCACCTTCCATGTCACCTTCATACCCATCATCATTATTCCTCTGATCATCCTTTTTCCTATAATCTGATTGACTCCAGTCTTCATTCCTATTGCCTTCATTCTGTGGACAATTGCTTATTGTTTCTTTGCTCGGTGATTCCCTGATTTCATTTCCTTTACTTTCCTCTATACTTGTGTGTTGTGCAACTTGATTAGTGCTATCATCTAATTCCTATTAGTGTTAATACAACATGTTATTACAAGTGCAATTATAATAAACACATATATGTGACACAAAAGTTAATAACCAAACTAAATAAGTAAACAACACTATTTCTCTTAACCACATATAATACCTAACAATTTAAAAATCTATGTGACACAAAATTAACATTTAACATGTAATTATTATATAATTAAAATAAACACAATGACCCTTTGAATAATTGTTAAACTTCCTTCGCTATTTTTGTTATATGCTTCTGATTTTAAAAGACATGCCTTGTAGTTTCACCGACTAAATAAAAATGAAACAGCTCTCTTGATAAGATTCCGTTGCCATTTATATAAACTAATTATTGCATTAAAATATACACAAATAGGTGTGTCTCTATATTGTCAATTTCAATCAGACAATTTTACCCATTTAGATTTAAATTAGTCAAAAAATTTAAAACATGTGATAAACATAAAAATTGTTAGTTATCCCAATAAACAGTCATGAAACAAATTGCAATAAATAACATATAAATAACTTTATTTGGAGTAAAAACAACAGTTATGCCCAACAAATATCAATAAATTACTCTACTGGTGGGATGGAATACTTGCCAGTTTGAAAAATTGGATGATGCAAGCTAATCTACATAGATTGTGCTACACAAACTTAGATAAAAATATAATTAAGTATTTAATCAAATTTACATAGTACACCTTACAACTTAAAAAACGCCACAAACATTCCTCCGACAATGCTACTAACTTATACCTAAAATTGTGTTGAATGCATTCATAAAACTTTGGAAAGCACCATGATGTGCATACTAAATAAATTTATATTGTGAAGACCTATGCAACAGTAACAGGTGAATTATTTTTTTTAAATTTTAACTAGGATAGACAAATTAAAGTAACCTAGAAAAGAGAAAAATCACTTACCTCAACTTTTACCTCTTCGGCAACATCATCAATGTCGAAAAAGTCCACTGCTGATGGACTTTTCTCTGAGTAATCTGTAGATGTAGATGTTATAGTAAGATATAAAACTATATTTGTTTGTTAATCCTGTTTTTGTTGTTTTGTTTGATTTCAATTTTAAAATTAATTTAGTAGTTATTAAAATGGTAAGTAGTACTAAACCTTTCTCTTCGTCATCTTGATTTGGTTCATCTTCGTCTAGCACTTCAGATAACATAGATCCAAAGCCCAGACGATTAAGAGAGGAGAGCATTTTCTTAGACTCTCCGTCAAGTAACCCTTCATCTTCAAGTTGACCACTTTCATCGATGTTACCAAATAAAAACCCAGTTAAATCCATGCCAGATCGGCCGTGATCCCCTTGATCATCGCTGTCGCACATTTTGTCTTCTAAAACACTATTTAATTGTCGAATCTATCGATTTACTATTCGTCATGAATATTATATAAATAACAAGAAAAACCTATAAGCATTGCGTACGCAAGTTAAGTAGCATCAAACTTTTTATAAATAAAAACTATTCTGACATTTCATTCTCTTCGCACTTTTGACACTTTTGTTGACATTGACATAAAGATATTACATAGACAAAACCTCTATGTAGATTATAAAGAATTGTACACCATTATTTGTAAAATCGATGTTAGAACGATAGCGATAGTGTAAATACTAAATCCCACAGAATACCCGCAAAGTGGAATTAAGACATTCTGCGCTTGGTAACTTCAATCTTTGAACCGTTGGTCAACATTTAACCTTTAAACGGGTGTGAATTTGTATCGATAAATACTTCTTTTCTACCCTTAGAATAACCCGGGATGAATATGAATGGAACTAGTTGTTCCCGTCCGACTTCATCCGCATGAAATTATGAAAATTTTATTAATTGTTTACATTAACTGTCAAATTATCAATTACAAATGTCAAAATGATATGACATGATGACAACCTTGCTTCCTTGATGTTGGCGACAACTTATGATCTCTTTCCCACATTAGGGTTTTTATCCAAAATATTTACCCCCAAAGTTTAATGGCATGAAAATATATAGCCTAAAGCGTGACGTAAGTGTAGGGCTTTTTATTAAAAATAGAGTTATACAAAAATACGCTGTAATTGCTGAATTCTTAGGCAACAAAGAAGTGTGTGTTTACGCTTTATTATAATATTATAGATAACAACGTACTGGATGTCAAATTGGTAAGTAGTCCGTTCAAAAGACATCGATAGACATAAGCACAGTTACATTTGTAACATACTGAAAATACTGGACATAAGTTAAAGCACACGAAACGCCAGCCGGAGCGCCTCAATAAAAAAACTACAAAATATAATATGGCGATGCAAAAATAAAATCTCCATAAGTCCACGAGTTTTTCATATAATTCTCTTGCTAGTTGAATGTTTTTAACTATGATTAGTTAGGATAGAGAAATTTTACTGAACAAAATAAGAGCGAAGATTTCTTACTAAAAATGAAAATACCACAATGAATTAAATACTATGTTAATTAACAAAGAATGAAATATTACAAAGAAGTAAATAATGTTAAGCAGCTATTAAAGCTTGTTAAATTATGTTTAACCGATGGCGGAGTCGTCTAATGTAGTATTTAAGAGATAAGCTTGGAAATGTTCGCGTAATGAGCTTACACGACCACCAAAGCGGTTATAAATTCAGAAGAAACCTTCCGTTTACATTTTCAGGTACTTGTTAAAGAACGAATGTTTTATGAACATTTAAAATGAATTAAAAATTGTTAAGTATTTATGTGACTTCCAGAAGATATTCCTCTTAATCAAATTGTATCAACATTGTACTTATTTAACATATTAATCGATAAGCTATGATTCTTTGATTTTGTTTTAGATAGCATTGGAGATACATATATATTTTTGCACTCGAAAAATGTTATAGCTAAAAATTAAACCAAAAGGTTATACGGAGAATTAATACCCAAAAACCAAAATTTTAATTTATATGTTAATCCAAATTTTGATACGTTGATTTTATTGATAAGTTTTAAAATTATATTTTAAAGTTATTTGTATGCTTGAAATACCGCAGAACATTATAAAATATTAATTTTGAGCTAGATGCTACGAAGTTTCGCGGTAAAAAGGCTTAAAAGTCCAAGGCGAAAATAAAATAAGCTAGCATTTTACTTAATTGTTCCTATTCAACTTTATTACGGTAGAATTATGAATTTTGAGTTAAAGTAACTTACGTTTCTCTGTTTTGCTCATTAAACCCTTACCTTATTTACTTAATTGCGGGTAGCTAAATGTTGCATTTGGAAGTTAAATTTATGCTTCATTTTCAGGTTGCTCAAAGTGTTTTTTCACCTCTAAATACTTTTATGAATAATATCAATATACGAAAATGCGGACACTTTTTGGATTCAACCATGGAATAATAATCACCTTTTATGCCTTTTATGCAAAAACTATAAGAAGGTAAGTAATAATGTTGAATATTAATTTGATTTATTCCGTTAAAAATATATCGATTAGCAAAATAGAAAGGGTATTCCCGTATTTACGGTGTATTGGTAAAACATTATCCGGATAAATGTTTAGCTGCGTCCATCAAATAGCTCACTGAACAACTTTTGCCCTTTGCCTTAATAGGGTTGCGCGTCGACGTGTCGGTTAGGATTGACATTCCCCGTGATGAAGGTATCGCAAAGTTTTGTTTTATTCGTATTGCTAACGATAACGTAATAACATTGCTGTGTTGCTTCAAGAGATATTGTATTTTTAATCGAGTTGAACATTGGAAAAAGGGAACTCAAGAATGAATTAAATCTTGATTTAACGGTAAGTATCTGGAATTATTTTAATTAAAAAAAACGAACTTTTCACGACATTTCTATTTACGAGATTTTTCTAGTTAAATGAAACTTATTAGAAAAGTTTCTCATCAAGTCGCATATTTCAACTATTCATATATACACATATATATATATACAGATATACACGAAACACGCGAAAGCTCTTAGAATTCTTTTACCCGTACTATCGTTTCAAATTATCAAATTATATAATTCTGACGTTTTCGAGTTGGTTAAATTAGAATAAAAAATATTTTCCTCTATTAGGTAAAGAAGTTTCTAGACTTTACGCAAAATAGCAGTTAGTGTTTGGATTTCAAACAAAGCGCAAAATTTCCTGCCAGAGTATTATGGTAGTATCAGAGGTATATTATGGGAGCAGCTTTAACGGCTTGCGCTCATGATAACACGAGCTATTAAATAATCGTTTTTGGCTTGCGTTATAATATTACCATTAAAATTACAATGAATAAAATAGTCGTCCAAAGTGTTCTTTTTAGTATTAACACAATCTCCGACACCATTTATGGCAACAATCTTCATACCACGAGATTTGCCGAATGTTTGAACAAGAAAGATTATTAAGTTATAGCTATATCTTTATAGCTTAAGTTATTAGACACATTATTTATCGTAACTGTGGTTGTTTTTGAATAAATCGTGTCTGCTCAAACTCCCTGATGTCTTCATCAAAGAGCTAATGTAAATCGCATTTGAAAGGCTCAGGTGTAAAGCGGCCTAAGTATATTGCTCGGCAAAATAAATGATCCCATAGCGCTCGAGTACGGCGTAACTTTTGATACAACAAAGAACACCGTTACAGTTTAATGTTATTTAAAACGTATGATATTTTATATCCAATGTCTTTTTACATACCAATGTTCGGATAATTGAGGGTTTGATTTTTTATATTACCATGTCTATAGCCGCAAACGCAATTTTTTAATGATTAGTCAAACCGTTCCGTTTTACGATTTCATTATGAAATTCATCTGTAAATATAACTATTTTAAATATTATATCATACTGATATTGCGAGAGTTTAAATGGATGGATGTTTTTTAGAGTTTGTAGCCTAAACGGCTGAACGGATCTCGATTTAATATAGTACAGATAGGATAGTCTGTAAGAACACAAGCTACTTACTTTTTTTTTAAATTCCACAGGAATGGAATTGCGGGCGAAAACTAGTAGTTTATACATTCATAGCTTATCCTAGTAACGTATTACAGTGTATTGTAAGTCGTTAATTGCATGTGTTTATATCGGTATTAGAGCATTATACTGTATCGCTCTCTGGGGTGATGTATAACCTGTGTTTACTATTGGATTATTACACGTATCAAAGCCTTATTACCCACATAACAAAGGTATTACGCGACTATCAGTAAACAAGGAATATTTAATGAATTAGTTAATTTGGAACAAAAAATAAATGATGTCCATTACACCTCAATATTTTATAATCTTAGGGAAAAAATTTAAAATGATAGATTTTTTTAAATGTAATAGTATTAAATAAATTACGGATGATCTAACATTAATCAAACCATCTTTTACATTTATACTGTTCCAGTACGTATTCATCCGCGTGAAATTATAAAAACTTTATTTCATTATTTACATTTGTCAAATTCTCAATTGTAAATGTCAAAATGCAGATGCGCAAATGACAATTGCTTCTTTGATGTTGGCAGCTTGTAGTTTATGGTCCCTTTCCCACATGAAGGTTTTTCCAATTTATTTACCGCCTAAGTTAAATAGCGTGAAATAGCCTAAAGCGTTTCGTAAGTGTAGGGCTTTTTATTAAAGAAAGAATTATTCAAAAATATACTGAGACTGCTGACATCCTACGCCACGAAGTAGTTTGTGTTTACACTTTATTATATTAGTATAGAGTATAAATATGGATTCTACTTAAATTATACGATTCACGACAAATGTTTATTATATAGACAGTTGCAAGTGAAATACGTAATATCTATACAATCATACTAAGTTACCATACGAACCTTTCTAAAAATAGTTTTGTAAGAGATTAATTCCATTCTATCAAATCCGCTGAGATATGCATTGTGAAAACATTAACGTTCTCGAATATCTTTAGTGCTCCCGTTGTTAATCCGACAAATGTAAATGAGAATTATTCCAGCGTCCCGAGAAGCCACTCGCCTGTTTTTCCCTGATAATGCATTTAAAATATACATAAAAGTTGTATTAAATACGGTGCATTTAAAATATGCAAATAATTAATTAAAATATGTATCCATACCTTTATACAGCTGTTACATACGTTACTCCTTTAACTTTCTCTTAAACTTTTAGTAGTTATATTGAGAAGGCAACTTGCATAATTATTATTAAGTAGCCCACGGCAATTACTAAAGTAAAATACACTGAAGTTCGTTAACATTTTCTTCGTGGAAACATCTGCTAAGGAAGTGTAAGCTAGATTTCTCTGAAAGGAGGTAAAGCTAGCAGCCTTATCCTTTTTTCCAAGGTAATTACGGGTTCTATGAAAAGTATAAATAATATTTCCTAAAACCATGCAAGATATTAAAATGTTATCTTCAAAAAGCGCCTACACAAGTATTAACAAGAGAAAAATAACAGATCACACAATCTTACTTCTTACTAATATCATAAATGCGAAAGTTTAGATGGATGAATGGATAGATGGATGGATGGATGGATGTTTGTTAGC